TATAACGGCGTTACCTGGAAAAGGACCCTGGCGTTTGGGGGGAGATTGATTATCGACCTACTTTACAGCACAAATTCTAGATGTGCTCAGCCTTGGACTCTGGGGATATTGCAGGCGGAAAGGGGCATCGTAACCCCTACCTTTGAATTGTCGGTAAATATTGTCTATTTGTTTATCCGTCACTCTTTCGACACAGCAGTAGCGACTTTTTTCCTTTTTTATTCCTTTGATTTGCGAAAGAGGGACACATTCGCCACATACATTAAAAGATCACGGAGTCCTGAGGGGGCAGGGGCGGCGAACTGGAGCCAGGAGTTTTCAATGTGCCCAAGGACATAATGGGACAGAAATGCGGGAGTAGTCTGGGGAGGTCAGGGGATTGGGGGGATAACATACTATTTCCACTACACCCGGAGGCACCTTACTTTGGGCACCGTGGATACGAACAAAAGAGGACGAGGGAAATTTGGATGCCGATTTCTAGCGGCTTTTTGCAAACTTGACTACTTGATCCTCAGGGTCTGCTCTCTTCGGTTTACATCTTTACATATTTTGCCCCCTCTGCTTGTTCTTAGGGGCAATGAGAATACAACAGGACGAGGTGTACCTCGTCGTTGACCAGCTATTACTACAGTCTTGATCGATCCAGGTCCCAAGTGAAGTCATAATAAGCTGATTTGAGTTATTGAAATGACTGATCATGTAAGTCTACTATATGAAGTCGGGCCTGATGTGACCTTGAAGCAAGGCAGGCAGGGTGAGGGAGACTCATGCCGCATTGCACACATACAAAGTGAGGAAAGCAATACAGCCACCACCCAAACCAGCTTAAACAGACGGTCCTGCCCAGCTAGAAAGGTCTGTAAAACGCGCCTGCTCGAGGCAATCCGTCCAAGGAGAGACAAAGCGGTTCTCACCCACCACCCAACCCCTGGCACCTTCCTCACCTTCCTCCTCCCGAACCTTCATCCGATAACTTTTTCCCGCCACCACCCGAATACACAACACGAATACCCAGAAGCAAGCCTTCATATACCCCCTCAACCCAATTCCAGTCACCAGCCAGCAGGCGCCCGTCTAGGTCGACGGGTCAGGTCAAACTGGCTGGGTGGTGGAGTGGTTCATGGTCAACATCAATTGTCTACGCCAACCAGCCTACTCGACGACAGGCTAAGCGCATACGAGAGTACCCGAGTTCGAGTCCCGGCATGAGCACCAAGAGATGTAGCCCCCAGTCCAGCACCGGGGGGGTGAACTCTTTTTGTCTTTTTGGGTGATGGGAATAGTGAAAAGCCTCTGTAAATTGCTTTGCGGAAGAGAAAAAAAAACGGTGGTGCCGTGTTCCAGAAAATAAGTGTTTTTCTATCCAACGCCCGCGAATGAATCTCCTCGTTCTGTCTGGCTCCATCTGCCCTGCCTTGCAAACCCACCATGTGTGGTGCGTATGATCCCACCACATCATCGTAATCAAACAGCGAGTCCTTCTTCCAACGCCTCGTCCCGCTCCAGCTTCTCGAGCCCCGTTGCCACGGCACCGTATACACGCAGGGGGACTGCAACCTCGAAGCTCTCGCACGCCAAGTTTTCTACTGCCACGAGCACTAGACCTCCGCGCTCGTCCCGGGATATTTCTTCTAGTAATGGATGCGTGCTAGGCGCCTCACGCTCCAGCTCGGTCTCCTGGCTCGGCACCACGAATTCCACGCGGATCTTCCATTCGAATGAGATACCTGTGGTGACGAACTCTGGTGTCGCAGTAATAGGAATGGTCGGAGTGAAGACCATTCTCCGCGAGTAGAGCGTCGCCTCCGACGCAGACACATGGACTTTCCGCGTCACGCGGTGAATGGAGGCTTCTGAGCGGATGGCCAAATGCGGCTCGACTCGCTCGGCCGACTCGAGACAGGAATGAACCGCGTAGCAGGGAATCTCGGCGTCTGTGAAGTCGATGGCCATAGTAACAACTTCGCCCAGACGGTACGAGGGGCGTGTAAGCATAACGACACCCACCCGCTGTCCGTTGCGGGCAATTTCGAAGCGGTTCGGGCTCTGCTGACCCTCGGAAGTCAGGTTACTGCGCATGATAGCCAGGTTAATGGCCTCTGTGGCCGTCGTCGCCTCCTCAAATACTGATGGACGCCGAGAGCTGGGGTATGCCGTGGGTGATAGCAGCCCTGCGTTGGACCCCTGCCGTGGCCTTGTTAGAAGCTCGTCGACATATACGAGGAATTCATTAATTGTTGCATCCGTCTTGGTCGATTTTAGCTTCTTGATCTCGCTGAGAGTCGACAGTTTGTCGACAGTCTTGATTTTCGCCTGATCGCGAAGTATAATGTATGGATTCATGAGATCATGACCAAGAATTTCTCCATGGCTGTTTACACTGCCGAGGACCCGGAAGGGAACCTCAACGGAGCGCACCTGCTGCTCTTTAGAGCCGCCTGCTCGCTGCGTACCGATGACCAGATTGTAAGAGATCTTCACCGCTTTTCCCTTATGTGTCGGCGGTAAGCCCTTTGGGAGCTGAAAAGAATACTCAAAAGCTTTGTGCTCTCCGGGAGCCAGGTTCAAGTCCACAAACAAGATTGACTGTGGAGTCGAGAGCAAAGGAACAGACTTGGCACTGGCGATGCCGCGCATATCTTTGATGCTGCTGACCTCGCCGGCTCCAAGCAGCTCTCCGATTGAGTTGCTGATACTCCCCCAACCGAAACTTCGAAGCAGTCCACTATCCCGTTTCGCAGGCTCCACACCAATGACACCACCTCCTTGACCGCCGACAACGGCCTTTCGCTTGACCTGTTCAAACGGCCCGAGGTTGATGAGTGAGCCATCCAGGGTGAATGAGCCTTGAATTTGAGCGTAGCCCATCATCAACGATTCCGGTTGCCTCGGGTTATGTGAGGCAAAGTTAGAAGACTTTCGGAAATGCGGCGGCCGCATAGGGCCCCGCGTGGGTTGAGTTGGATACTCAGACGCCAGAGTTTCCGTAGAGTTGTTGCTCATTGAGTAGAACTCCCCACTGCTGCGTGGCGTTCCTCCGCCCATGCTTGTCGTCGAAAGTATTCGCATGGCTGGTGTAGGATGCTCGATAGGATTGGTGAGTACGCCGTCTTTGTTCCGTATAGCCAGGGTTGGGGGCACTTCGGTGTTTGGACTTAATAGCCCATCATGGTGTGACGCTACCGGTGTGCTTTGCGTGTCCGACAGTGGCGACTGGACCATTGGAAACCGGAAGTCGGCCAGCGCGTTGGAAGGCGATCTCATGGGACGTTGTGAGCCTGCCACGCCAGGGGTATTCGGTGCGGTCGAAGATCTCGAGTTGGATGGGGGTGTGTCGGAAGCGGATGTCGAGTTGAACAAAGGGGAGCTTATGTGCCTCGGTGATGCTGTAATAGAGTTGACAATTAGACTCTGCATCAATATCACAAATCAGAATACTGACCAGAGTGAGGCGCTGTGAGACCGAGCCCCAGAGCAGCCCCCCGAGGCACAATCTGTAGACTGGATGCCCGAGCATGACCGCGACCAGGCCGATGCGCCTTTACGGAGCTAGCGTTACTCTGATTGTCGTCGGGTACGGTGCTTGTGGAACCAATTGACACAATAGAAACGGACTTCTTGTGGCCATTGCCACGGTGCTCAAGAGCACTGGGAGGATGTGATGGTGTCCACGGCACTGAGCCCGCGCGGCTTCGCGATTGAGCGACTGGTACATTGAGGGATAGAGCAGATCGATGACCGCGGGTTTGAGCTGAGTTCGGCGGGGTCAAGCCAGCGCTAGACTTGCCTCTTAGCAAGGGCGAGACATGCCTCGGTCGGTCTACAGGTGCGAGTCGTTGGGACTGCCGTTGCTGATTCGGATCGCGAGCAATGTTCTTGAAAGTGATGGTGCATTTGATCTCCTCGCCAGCGAAGACGGTCTGGTCGTGCCAGCGGATAAAGACTCGAATGTTGCTGGAGGCCTCTGGAGACATGATGGCGCTCGTCCGGGCGGAGGGGAGGGAAAAGGATCGATTGAGGTTGCAACGAATCAAGTAGTCATCACATGTCTGGTATCAACCATCGTCGCGTCTAAGTTCGTGGATTGGAGATGGACAAGGAGTCCTGACAGGTGCATTGAACGTCATGGGCTCTCCGAGTTGGCGGGAGATGGAAGTTGAGCGAGCTGGGCTAGCTCCAGCGTTGCTGCGAGTCGGGCGGGCCCCATTCGGCGCGCGCTGCAGGGGTGGGATCCACGTCCCCGTTTCCTTTCACAGTTCTAGCGTCACTATCACCTCGGCGCCTTACCTCAGCAGTCCCGTCCGCTGATTCGGGGACGGCAAGGACGGAAAGCGGAGCGGTACGTACCCACTCTCATGAATGTCACTTACACGATCTCAACACCACACCTTCAAGGGCTTCTAATCCAACTGATCGTTAGGTATCTGAGTATCTATGCCGTTTGCACATTGAGAATTCTCTCACAATGTTTACGCTCTATGTTGCAGTAGTCCTCAAAAAGACGTAATTTCATTCACTCCAGACCTTACCATGGCTGGCCGCGGAATATCTCTTTAAGCAGGAAGGAGGCAGGTGCCTGCCTGCTGAGCGCACCTTCTACTATCCATGGAAAGATCACCAAATTAAGGCGGGAGCCGAATCTACCACGATAGAAGGTATGGATCAGGAAGTGACGGGCTTCTCGTCTACACCTACCCCAAAGCCTTCCACCTGTTCCACATCCTCTCTCGGCCACACTTCTCCCTCTTCCACCAGAGGCACGTCACAAATTATTTTCCATTTCTCTTCTCGATCCCACTGCAGTCCTTTCTCTAGGGGACTCACTATTTCACATTCTTCTACCAGTATTTCGTTCAAAGGGCAAACGTTCCAAGGTTGTGGTTCTCTCTGTTCTTTCTTCTTTCTGCCGCCAAAATCTTCACGATCATTCAATTTCTGCTCACAGCTTCCAAAATCACACCTTCTACACCACGAATCAAATCAGGCTTCCCTCAAAGATGGCCATTATCGATACCCTTCCCGCTGTCAGTGTTTCTGTTCGCCTCAAGAAAGCCTACCGAGACGCTGACGAATACCCCGACCCTTATCCGTACCATGAGCATGAGAGATACATGGACGACTTCGAGCAGTGTGCCCGCAACTACATTGAGAGTAAGGAAGGTACCGAGTTCGCAGTTCATGTCAATGTCTTGGACGATGCCACTATTGATCCTTGGATCCATCACGATGAAGGCTTGGTTTTCCTTCTCTTCCTCGACGGCCACTTCATGGGAAAGCGATTCTGCTACGATGATGACTTCAAACATGGAGGCTGGCACTTTGCCTTCAAAGGCAAGAGACATCCCAACCAGGATAGAACTGCCATGGTTGAGAGTAACTTCAAGTTCCAGACGATCACTGCAGGTAAATCCACCGCATCACTCGACTGCTAACAATATTCGATGCTGATCTTTCCACACAGTTGACCAAGACGCTACCGATGGCGAATGGAGGCGTGCCAAGGATCTTGGTACAATCGAGGTGCGCGTCAGACTTGCCAGATTCGCTGGTGGTCCACGCCGCAACAGATGGGTCAACTTGGAGAGACCGTTCCGCGAGCCGGAGTACAACAAGTGCGAGATATCCGAGGAAGCTATCAAGGGCCGACCCATCTACCATGGCACTTCGTGTGTAACAATTTTCTTCTGGGAATGTACCCATCACGCTAACCATGTCTTCGCAGCTTCACCCCGCCGGTGAACAAGAGTCTGCGACCTACACATTCAAGTATCGCTCGCGAGGTATGTGTCTATGTGTAACAGGCGTGTCTTTGGATTGAAAAAGGCTGACTGTCATAAAGATGCGCTGAAGATTGAGGAGATCCTTCACCAGACCCCCAGCCCTGAGCCCGCCCCGGCGCCTTTCTTCCGTCAGAAACCGGCCTACTTGGGAAATTCGAGCCTTCCTAGATTCGAGGACCTTCATGAAGATGAGGTCGAGCGTCTTGCTCGAGAGAGACACCAACAGCTCCAAGTAGGGTGATGATTGACTTTAAAAGGGTTCATAGACTGACACCCCCACCAGGATGAGCAAGCGCAATCTTCAGCTCAGAAGAACAAACGGAACTATGACGACTTCTGTGATTTTACGGATGGCGCTGATGAGCAGTTGGCCCGTCCTTACAAGATCATCAAGCTGGGAAATGGCCATGACGCTATTGATCTCACGGGCGGCTACTAGAGATGTAGGCCAGGAGATCGTGCGTTTGTTGTAAAGACGGAATTATCACAGGATGGAGGTCACTGGAAGAGTCTTCTTCGTCAAACAAAGCCTTTGTTGGGGTGGTAAATTCACAGGCCGAAGTTCACTGTACTGAATGGAAGGCCCCAAATGAAGACATTTCGGACGAGGGAGATTGTTTGGTTGAAAGGAAGTCGACATTGCTTTGATAGAAGACTTGGTTCGAGGGATCAGGTGGAAGAGCAGTACGACTCACGTCCATCAGAAAGCTAACTCCCGAACCACCGTGAGTTGTGTTAAATACAAAAGTTTTCAAGTATGCAGGTGTTTTGTTGTTGTTCTATGTGACTTCGGGTGCGAAGTTAACCACAACGGGGAGTCGAATACTGAAGAGTCTCTTCTCACCTTCGCGAGAGAGGTGCTATTAAACGCAGTGAGCCGAATTCCTGGTACTATTACTATAGATCTCTGCATTGATGGCTCCTTCACCATGCGGTGGCTCAGTCAGGCCTCGTCACCTGCCCCAAGGCAATTAGACATGAACCAAAGCCAGTCCGCGAATTTTTGACCCTACAGATGCCCCACGGCTCGAAGAATGGAAGGCAGAAGGGATATCTGGATTCCCCTCACAGTAAGGTACACCCAGAGCCTTTCTGGCTAATTTGAATACTAGACTGCTGCAAACCGAACGTTTCCAGCCACAACCCTGCCTTGTTCGTCGATCTCAAGCTCGGTTGAGTTGCAGAAGTACGACCACACCGACAAGCCACGAGAATACTTCTCGTTCAGCAAGCTAGAGAGATGGCAGGTTTCGACTTCAACATCAACATGCGAGTGGTGATTACCGTCGCTGGTGCTCCAGCCCCGGAACGAAATGACGTGACAGCAGAGAGCCTCGAAAACAGCGCCCCATTCAGCTGCAGCAAAGTCATCGCTGTCAAGGAGGGAGCGAAATTTTCGATTCTGGCTTCTCCTGGCGCAGGAATATGTCGACTCCTTGCCAAGGATGAGGGGCTGATGGTGCTGATTCACTTTGACGACGATGAGGTTCTCCGGCGGTTGTATACGAAGACCGTAATCGATGCCCGGGCATCGCGCCGATTCCCCATGGAGTTCTTTGGAGTAACAGGAGTGAACAGTAAAGGCCGCCAGGTCTTGCAGCCTTTCAAGTTTGCCACGGCCAAGAACGACGGCAGCGCGATTCGAGGTACCATTCGCGTTGATTTATACATCGTCAAGCTACTTGGTGCACCGGAGAGGCAGCGACTCGACGACACTACTGCATATGGGTCATCAGTTCAGACCAAACGGTAAGTTGCAAGCACGGCCTTCTCATACATGCCAAAAACGTTCGATAACAGAGGAATCCAGCTTGGGATCTGGGAAGAAGGTCAAGAAAGCCCTGGCGGCAGACACATACGACGTGAAGCGGCTCAACTACGAGCGTCCTATCGCCCGGTTCAACTTCAAATATGGACCAAGAGGTCTGTAAATTTCCTGGTCGAGTTCATCTTTCCCCAAGACTGACATTGCTCAGGAGACTTGCCCGTACACAGACCCAAGGACAATAATGAGAGCAATCACGGTGAGGGCTTGATCAACATGTCCAAGAATCCAGCCCTTTCAAAGCAGGGTCCAGGCGGAGTCAGAGGCGCTGACGCCAAGATACCCTCCTGTTCATTGCCTGCGAAGCTTCGTGGTCTGCCGGAAGCTCCTGCACAGACACAGACAACCGCTGGTGCGAAATCTGCCTCGACAACTACTACCTTACCCAACAAGGGAGATAAGCTTGACGCTCAACTGAACGAACGAGTCGTTCCGATCCGACGCAAGCTTCCAGAGCCCATCGCGAAGGAGCAGAAGTTTCGAAGAGACATACCTCATGGGGAGGCCGTTTCGATTCAGGAGACTCAGCCGAAAGACGCTCATTTCAACAGAAAGAGGTCTGCCGAGGCGGCTTTCGGCAATGACTCACCTTCTAGACCCAAGAAGTTTCTCGCTACTTCCACATACTGAGAATGGGAGAAAATAGCTGGGATATGAGACGTTGCTAGAAGCGGAGGGAAAGTTCTCTGTCGTGGAAGTGGGAAAGGAGTGGGCTGAATGAGAGATCAATGTTGACGAGCGGACGCTTACGAGCCTTGCGCCCAGTGAGGAAGACAGTCTCAGGTAGATACAGCGGCTATATTTGTGACTCGTGGGATTTTGCTAAAGGAAGAAAGGTGTGCGAGATTGGCACCACTAGCAGTGAAATACGAGCTATTGCCACCGACTTTGACGCTTCCTGTGAGGGAAACTTGTGTGATGGGTTTAAATTGAAGATGAATTATGGCGTGATGAAAATGAGAAGCCATGCGTCTGCTTTGTTTCGGTCACGCCTACGTCCAGTGATATAACCCGGTAGCACCGGACTGGTAAGGAACCTCATTAAAAGAGGCTTCCGTAGAGTACGGAAATTCCTAGTAGCCTGTGCTCTCTTGGGCTCAAAGTCGTTGCGTCAGACATGATGAACCACGTCTTGGGATTATCATTGAGATATGTGGTCTTGCTTATACAGTCTCTTCAAGGCATGCCTTCTGCCTATCCCGTCATTGTGCTGCATGGTAGCAGTAGCAAGGCATCCACACGCTTATGAATGGCCGAGTGAACAGTGAGGTATGATTTGAAGAAACTGCTTTTCCTCGTCGTTCTGTGTCTACCACTTCAGATACGATTTGATTCGCCTCTCTACCTTTCGAAAAATGCCCTCAATCATCACTAAGATCGATCGTCCCATCCGCATCCACCTTGTAGATCTTGCGTGGACGGGTGTCGGTCTCCTCATCCGCTTCGCGCTTCACACCGATTCCAGGCTCTCTCTTGACTTTGGGCTGATGAAATTGTCAGTTTGACACAAATTTGAGGGAGAAAACACTTACTTCCAGCTGCTCCAGACGCTCTTGGGCAAGTCTCATGATATCTGCCAGCGGCAAGTTTGCCACGGCCTGGGGCGGGGGTGGAGCAGAGAACTCGGGAGAGGGGCTCAGAGAAGGATTTCGAGGAATGATGCCATCGATTTGAAGAGAACCCCTAGACTTGTATCGGAAGAAGAATTGAGCAATTGGCTGGGTTTCGTCCCTGTACTTGAATGTTCTCTTCATTTTGCTTAACTTCTTCTCTATTCCTTCAGTGAAGCTGACGACCACACAGTTAGCAGTATAACCAGATAAAGGTGTTAGACTTCTTACGATGTACTGTGTGATATGTTTTTGCCTTTGATTTCAATTTCAGAGACACCCCTTATGCTCTCTGTCCTCGATTGTGCCGGGGTTCTGGGTCTGTGGCCTTCAAGCTCGACACGGAACACAGTCACTTCAATAATGCCAAGGTGCTCCACGATGAATTGATTTCCTGATAACTGCTCGTTGCTCTCTTCGGCTGCGTTATCAAAGTCAGCGGCTCAGAATCAATAAAATGAGAAAGCGAGGAGATACCTGTTTTGATCGACGCGAACTTGAAGTGCCTTCTGATGTCTTTGCCAGGTTTGCTGAACCTGTCCCCAAAGCTGTCAATGGTTGAGACGATGGTTTGATTGACCAGGTGGCCAGGTCCACGATAATATGTGGCGACGTATTGGCCATCAATGTGAAGCACCAACGCGAGCCAATTCTTGCCATTTATCCAAGACCGGCGGTTTCGAATCTCATAGTGGATAGAAAATCTGGCATCGACCTGACTTTCGATGACTTTGGAAGTGGTATGAGTTGCCGAGCCCCGAGATGACGTGGATTTCGGAGGATCTGAATCGTCGTACTCGATGCAGTCTTCCTCGAATCCGTTGATACGGATGGAGACCTTGATCTCTGGGAGGCCATCAATCACCGCCATGGTCCCTCCGAGTCGTGGTCGTGGGATGGCGTTTCGAGAGTGAGTAAGGCCTCTGGAGTTAAGCGATCCACATACAGAAATTGGTGAGTTCAGATAAGTCTGAGCTTCTGGGCGAGGAAGAAGAAGTATGGGTACCTAGAGGAAGGAGAATTATGGGTAGAGGGAGGAGATTGGAAGGAATGAGGAGGGTAGAAGGAAGGAGGGTGGAAGGAAGGAGGGTGGAAGGAAGGAGGAGGGTGGAATTTCAGGTCGAGGAGTCCAGTCCATTAAAATGGAAGGTGCATTGGAGGGCCAGCAGCAAGCCCGGTGAAGCATCAGGCAACCCCGCCGAGAAGATGCTAGTATCAGCCTCTAAAGGCGGCCAAATTCGGTCGTGCTTTCTCAAAGTAAAGTGCCTAACGAGTTTGATATTTCGTGCCTCAAGATGAGAGTCTCTTCAACGTTCCCATGGTAAGGGCGTGGTTGCTTTGCAAGACCATGCATCCAAAGGACGCTTAGATGAACCATGGGGACCCTCTTCGCGTCAAGTTCTTTGCTCGAGCCGAAGTACTTCACTTCGTCAGTGAGCAACAAGTCAAGGGTAAACAAGAACAGCGCAGGGACAGGTAGTCAAGGCGGGTGACCTACTACACACCAGTGTGCATCGATGAAAGTTTGCAAATCTATACAATACACTGAAGCCCGTCTCGCGACATCGAAAAAGACTTCACCACCGGTATGGTTACATCTCTTGATGCTCATGCTGGCTTCGAACTGGTAGACTGTCGTCGAGTAGGCTGTGGCCGTTTTTATTGTTGAATTCTTAACCTCTCCACCACCCAGCCACTTTGACCTGACCCGTTGACCCAGACGGACGTCTGGTAGCTGGTGACAGGAAGAGGATTGACGGGGTCTATATGGCCTTCTCGCATGCTCTAGAAGGCCTTGTAGAAGGCCTTGACTCCTTGACCAGACCCCGCGGTCTTTGGTCTACCTCCCTCAAGGCCTCGACCACTTATTGCTCAGACATTCGCTTGATTTCTCGCATCTCTATACTTGTTTCCGCCGAAGTTCCGGTATTGAAGATACAGACTATGTCGTCCAGAAAGCCCTGTTCGCCGCACAATACCTGAAGTATCACGTTGTTGCTTTCC